TCCCCCCCCCCCCCCTCCTCCATTTCTTTCACCTTCTCTCTTCTCCTGTTCATCTCCTCTGCCTCCTCTTTCACTCGCCACCTCCACCGCCGCTTATCGTCGTCTCGTGGCCCCTCTCTCTCCTACTCTCTCTCCTCCTGCTCATCTTCATCTCTCACACTTCTGAATCTGCTGAAATCGGTAAGTCTCTACACTTTCTAGCTGTTGAATCTGGTCTCCCATGCTGGGCTTGTCGTTTTCGAGTGGTCTTGCACATCCTTTCCATACGAGCCCTTTGGATTGAACAAAATTTTGAGTGAATTCCGTTGTTCTGTCTTAGCTCCGTTCTGGTTTTCTCCGGAGAGACACGATCGTGTGTGTTTGCCCGACCTGATCGTGTCCGATTCGAATTTCGGAATCTCTTACTCGACAGCAACCCGATCGTGTCTAGATCTCTCCACACGATCTGGTCTAATACACGATTTTCACGACCAGATTTCTCATGACGCACGATCGTGTGACGTCATCCAACACGACTGTGTCACCTCTGCTAATATCTCTCTACCCTTGTAGCGCAGATGTCGCCCCGTCAGAAGAGAACACTCACGTCCGGTACAGCAGGATCATCCTCTGTCCGTCCCTCTAGCGCTAGTAGCAGTCGTCGACCAGCCGACAAGCCAACTCCACCACTGGGCCAGGTCATCACCGGCCGCTCTTTCGTACTCAAGCCCGCTGAATTGGTTCTCATCGAAGCCTCGACACCAGTGCAGCCAGGCATTTGCACTGCACTTCATCCGGTGCGCCCTAAACCGATGCATGATCGCTACTCCGCTGTTGACTTTCGTGATGCTGCTCAAGAAATGGCATATGCACGGTTGGCCCAGTGCACTCTCAAGCCAACCAAATTCATTAGCAGCTACATCAAGGAAGTCAGGATCAAGCACCAGATGAAATCTCTTTTCCACACACTGGGTTGGACCAAGCTCTACAGCGCGAACGTCCCCACTTACGAGCGTCGCACACTGGAATTCCTGTCGTCCTTACGTGAAGGGTTTTCCTGGGATCTCACGACCCTCTTTTTGATCAGGATGTCCTTAAAATACTTCGTGTACGAGTGAATCTGCAAAATAGCGTCAGTGAATGGCATGGTTACCTCGAGTTTCTTCTTCACCATCTCAACAAACTTCGCAAATTGGCTATCTTCGTTGTACTTCCTCAGGCGAGATGGGAATGGTACTGGTGGTGGCCTAGGAGGAGGAGGCACGTAAGCCGGTTCAGGTTCATCATCGGAGATGTCTACAACTGCAGTCTTCGAGCTTTTTCCTCGCTCAACCATCGGTCGGTCTTCAACGTCTACCTGCTTACCACTTCTCAAAGTAATCGCATTGACATGTTCACGGGGGTTAGTCTCAGGTTTACCTGGAAGAGATTCGGATGGTCTTTGACAGGCTGATGCTAGCTGAGCGATTTGGTTGTCTATGATCTTGAAGTGAGCATCGATGCTTGCGAACTGAGCTCGAAATTCCTGATTTGTCTTTTTCTGATTCTGTATAAACTGTATAAGCAAAGTGTGCATATCAGGATTGGATTCAGGATTACCTAGAGGTGTGGAATTAATATAGGATTTCCCCGGAGCTCTGTAGTTGGATGTCTGATTAGGACCCCTGGATTGAAAAGCAAAACTGGGAGGAATCCTCTGGTTCGAGTTGTCGGATGCTCTGAAGTTGTTCGGCACGGGATTCTCCACATTGTTTGACTTGTAGGAGAGATTGGGATGATTCTTCCACCCTGGATTGTACGTGTTCGAGTAGGAGTTATTGGCCACGTATTTCACACCTTCAACTCGCTCTTCGATTGCATACATGCCAAGATCATCTTGTGAAAGTGTCGGAGCATCCTTAGTAGAAATAAAATTGGCGCTTGCAAACTTAGCATTCAATGCTGCCAATTGATCAAGAACCAACTGAAGGCTAGAATCGCCGTCTTTCCTTGGTAGATCCCGAGAATATTCATTCGGAGCGTCCTCTTCTTGAGCCATCAGCTCAATGTGTTGTTCAAGCTCCACGAATGACTTGTTCTGGATGTTTCCACCACAAGAAGCTCGAATCAGAGTCTTAGTATCATTTCGTAGTCCTCGAAAGAAGGTATTGACCAGGTAGTTCTTGTCGAGCCCATGATGAGGACACGACTTCTGATATCCTTTGTACCTTTTCCAAGCGTCGTAGTGACTCTCCCTTTGATCCTGCTTAAATGAGTGTATGCCTGAGAGAGCTGCTTGAGTGCGGTGGGCTGGAAAGAATTTGGACATGAACTGAACTTCCAGCTGATCCCAGGTGTGGATGGAATCAGGTGCTAAATCATATAGCCATTCCAATGCAGCATCCATGAGAGTCCAAGGAAAAGCAAGTAGACGGAGGTCATCGTCCGTCACTCTGGCCTCTCTTTTGATCGAGCGGCACATCATCTTGAAACGCGTGAGATGTGCGTTCGGATCTTCGTTTGGCCTACCCCGAAAATAATTATTGCTGAGCATCTGGATGGTAGCCGGGTTGAGCTCAAAACGAGTCATGTCGATGGTCGGCAGTCGTATACCGGCCATAAGCTCGGTGTGCTTTGGCGTGTTATATTGAGCAAAAGTTGAGTCTGCATTGCCTGCAGCATCACCGGGAAAAGCGAGATCTTGATCGTTCTCCATCTGTCTTTGCTGTCGACGGATGCGTGTAATGGTTCTTTCAAATTCAGGATCAAAAGGTACTAGGTCTGATGTCCCAGCACTTCTGGTCATGCACTAGGAAACCCTACGCACAAACGAAAGACAACAAACAGACAAAGAAAACGTGAGAAATCACTTAAGAAAAAGAAAAAGAAAGGAAGAAGATCCAGACTAGATAGAATCTAATCTTGTTGTCTAAATAGTCCCCGGCAACGGCGCCAAAAACTTGATGTCGTAAATCTAGGTGCAGAAATATGATCAAGTAATAATATTTCTAGACTCAACAATTAACCGCAAGTGTACGGATCGTGTGTAGTAGCTAGGGTCGAACACAGGGACAAGTAAACAACTGAATCAAATCTAAATCCAAATCTAAATCCAGGAAAAATTTGCGTCACTTTTTGCGTCACCCTTTTCGTGTTTTCTTGTAGTTAAGGTAATAAAGCAAACGATAAAACGACTGCAAACTATGAATGATGAACACTGCAGGCTTCGGGATTGCTTTACATGCAAGGATCTTTCAAAAGATGCAAACTTAATGGTTTATCTATCCAGTTCAGGGAATTCAAGCTCTAAGGTAGAGATTAACTCTTCCAAGTCTAATCTCACTATCCAGTTTTAATCTTACTAATCTTCCGATTCAATAGTCTAAAACTCTGGATGTATGAACGAACGCTATCATGATTCCTAGGCAAATACCCATCTTCCAATGTGATACATGTTCTATTTATTGAATTAGTTCCAGGTTAGAATCTCATATGTCTATGTGAATTAAAACCCTAAGTTCATTCAACCAAGTGGCCAACGAGATCAAAAACATTAAGAACAATTCAATAAACTGAATGGAATAAACAAATCCAAAAGTTTGGAATTAAAAACCAAAGATCCCTACATAGCAAATCCCTAACCTACAGCTATGAGACTACTCGCTAAACATCTAGATGATAGGGTTCATATCAATACAACAAAACATCGTAAAATAGAAGAAAGGAAGAATGCTTAGTCGATTTCCCGGCTTCGTAATCTCCGTCTTCTACTCCGATCTCTTGCCTCTTGATAATCTCCCTATTCTTGTGTGCTCTAGGGTGTGTTTTCTGTGAAGAGTATGAATATTTTCGACCTTGGCGGCTAACCCTACTTAATCTTTCTTTTTCTGGGCTAAAATTCGGAATATTTCCAAAATCTGGTAAGTGACCCGATCGTGTGACAGAAAATGACACGATCGTGTCACTTAACAGTTTTGGCGGGCTTCACAAATTTGCTCATAACTTCCTGCTCCGACATCGGATTTCGGTGAATCGAGTGAAATGCGCTAGACATCTTATAACAAAACATCACCTGAAATACGTGTTATCAATCTCGGGCTTCATAGCCTCATGCCATTTCTCGGAATCGGGACTCGCCATAGCCTCTGGGTATGTGGTAGGCTCGTCATGTTCTAATAACATGAGTTCCTCATTCCCAGTCACGAGAAATCCGTATCTCACACGCTCTTGGCGAATCCTGCCTGATCTCCGAGGTTCACTCGTCGAAGGTTGAGTCTCAACTGGCAGTGAAACAGGTTGAACATCTTCAACTTGTTCATTCGGCTCAGCGTCTACTTGTTTCTCTCGAACTTCCTCAAGTTCGATCCTACTCCCACTGACTCTTTTGGAGACGAACTCTCGCTCCGTCGCATTCCTGGCAATGAGCACTTTGTTCTCTGCCGGAATATAGAAGTAGTAACCCTTAGTTTCCTTAGGGTAGCCTACAAATAAACA